AACAGGCCGATGACTTGGGCACTGCTACATCGTTCACTTCAGCTGCAGCATCATCGGTGCAATCCTCCATTGCTTTGTCCAAATCCGCTCTGACACGAGCAAAAGAGCTTGCAGCTAAAGCTAAAAAGGCAAAGGAGAGCGACTTAGAGGACGAAAAGTCACAGAACAAGACGCAAGCTCAGGAGAAGTGAGTTTATAATTTTTCTGTGAATATCTTACATTGTGTTTTGTGAGAAGTATGTACCGGTAATCCTACAATATATTGTGCAGCAGTAATGGTTTCCAGCCCAAGATAGGAAACAAAACTTTTTTTTCCCCTTTGTCTCTCAGTATTCAACAACCAGCATACCAGAAGTATCACAATCTAGCCCAGGACACTCCCCCAGGCCTCTCCCTGCCTTACCATTTCAAGGTACTGGCTGAGATGTTTAGGAGCATGGACACGTTGGTCGCCATGCTTTTCAACCGTTTGGAAACTGCTACTTTCTCCAAGATTCAAAAGGGAGTGCAGGATATGATACACAGGTAGGTGTGACTGTTGGATGTTTCCCCCTATTTATTCATCATTTGCTTACTCGCAGTACTTGTGAATTGCGAACCACCGATTTAAAAAAAAAAAAAAAAAAAAATTGACGAGGTATGGACATCTATTCTATGATTTGAATAGAAACAGCAGAAACTGCATTTTAAATTGCATTATTTTTGTTACTTTTTTGCTTGTACCGTATCAAAAGGCAATGAATCACACTGGAGAGAAAAAAAGTACTCTTGCTCTCAATAGTTTAAGGCAGGTAAAGTTCTCTGCCACATTTGAGTGCAATAATCCAATTTCTCTCAATGTCATGGGATTTATTTATTTATTTTTTTAATCTTCACAGTCCCCTTTAAATGGCACCATAGATCACTAGGGGTTCACGGACCCTCATTTGGTAAACTGGCCTACAGGAATGAGGTAGCTCAAATGGGTACCATAAATTGTATAGCCTTGGGTGGGGGGGGGTCAATTATTTTCAGAAATTACAGCTTGATTCCTTAATTTCCGACCTGGTTCTGTCCATATCGCTGAAATTTACTGGAATTTTTCTGTCCCTTTGTAATCCGACTTCAGAGTTTGTGTTGTGCGCAAGTACGGGACTGAAAAATGCATTAGTTGTCTTTAGAATTGAACATTGTACGTGTGCCTATTTGTGGTCCGTATCTGCAGACGGTTTGAAGAAACCCACGTCGGTCAAATGAAGACAGTTTTTCCGGAGGCCTACACCTTCAGACAGGAAAAGAACATCCCGACATACAACAACTGTATTAAGAAGGGCAGCTACCAGCTCACTGTGGAACCTGCGCTTTTCTGTGGTTCGTAAACTTTTTCTTTTTTTTTTCTCTTTTTCTCATTGACAGAATAGGAAACTTTAATATGTAAAACCTTTCTCATACTAATTTTGGTGGGGAAAGTTTATTTTATCCATTAGCCAAAAGTTTTCTCTAAATATGATTTGTGATTTCAATGTTGGTTTTTGGTTTTGCCGCTCATGTGCCGGGATTTCGCCAGATTCTGTGACTCTTCAAATTGTTTACTTGTTTGTTTTTTTTTCACGTTTTACACATCATCCCGACTTAATTGGAATTGCCGCTGGTTTAAGATAAATTGTGATTAATAGCCTAACCTAGAGTGACACACTGCTGCATGATACAATGTGGTTGAAAATGTTTACCAACTGTGTATTGATCATTTACAGGCCAAAAGGAAGGTCAACCCATCTTGACGGCCTCGGATCTTTTAGAGAGACGACACACCTTCCATCGCAACCTCGTTTCCATTGTTAAACACCACCACAAGGTGAGTTTTATTCGTCTGGATTTGGCAGCAAATGTGCAGCTTTGATAGACACAATGAGGATGCCCTATTATTTCCTGATCAAGTCTTTTAACACCGTCCTTCCATTTTCAGATGTTCCTCTCCTCGTTAACACCTCAAATGAGTGTGCCGGAAGACAAATTGACCCGCTGGCACCCTAACTTTAATGTGGACAGTGTACCAGCTGTGCAAGCAAGCTTACTGCCACAACCTCCTCGCGTTGACAAGCTGGCAACTGCCCAGGAGGTGTTGGACAAGGCCCACTCTCTCATCACACCCAAGGTCCGGGAATATGGATTTTGTATATTCTGCATAATGTCCACCATGACAAATTTCTGAATGAATTGAATGTGATTTGTTTCTTTCATCCAGATGGAGAAAGCACTGCTCTCTCTTGTTCAGAAGGCAGAAGATAAAAGTGCACCAAGTAAAGAGACGTCACTACCAAATGTGAACTGCACGCAGACATCAGCTCCACTTCGTATTCCAAACGCCCTGAATGGAGTGTCGCAGTCCTTGTTAGACAGAGTATGTATTTCACCTGTTTTTTGTTGTTGTTGCAACTTTGGGCGAATTTTCCAGAATTGGTCTTTCCATAACTTTTAGATGCTCCAAGACTTCTCAGCTTCTCAACTTTCCAATCAGGCATTGGGGGGTGATGAATGCCAAAGTTGGCTTGGCCTACAAAAAGAAATGAGAAATATAAAAAAAAAACTTTGTGCCATAAGCATTTTAATAGCTTTCTGGGAGTCTCTTTTCCACTGATATAAATGGTCGCTTTTCCACTTGTTAAGTGCTCCACGCTAACTTCGCGCTTCCCTACTCATGGCGCAGTATAAGGAGCACCTTGTGGTTCAGGATCTTGCTCATGGAAACTTCAACATGGTCACAAGGGGCTGGGAATGGAACCCACAACCTCTGGGTTAGGAGGCGACCACTCAACCACTGAGCCACGCCGTCCCCAAATACAATCCAACACTACAGTAGTACAGTGCGTGGTGTATATTGTTAACCTCCAGACTTAGAGTGCAATATGATGTTGCCACTTAGCACAGCCCTTTGCAAGCGAGCAAGACGATGAGTACAGTATGTGCAAGGTCAGATTTGACAGGGCATGCCCATATTTAGTTTTGCCTCACCCGAAATGCCTATCTGGCATGAAGTTGAGTAAATGACACACCGGTACTTCAGTCGATGAGAGAATCTGTGTAGCCAGAAAAGTGCAACTGTGCGCCTCTCATAGCAGAATATGTCCCTAATTGTCTTTGATTCTTTTTGTTGATCTAGATCAGGGCAAAGGAAGCCCAGAAGCTCCAGGCGGCTATGACGCGAAGCCCCTCCCAAGAAGAGCGTCTCTTGATGATGTCCCGGCTGGGGGAGCTAGCGAGGATTCTTCGCAATGTTTTTGTCTCGGAAAAAAAACAAGCTTTAAATATGGAAGTTATTTGTCACCGGATGGTCACCAGTTACAGATCTGCTCTCACTTCAGGTTAGTCAACATCCGAAAGACATGGGCTGAATGGTAATTTAGTTCATGTGTCATCTAGATATCGAGTCAAAGAAGTAGAGCACCAGATTCGGAAAGGATTTTCTGGTTCAACAATTAGCTGAAGTGTCTATTTTCTCTCTCTTTGTATTTAGGTGAAATGGAGAAACACATCAGATTGTTGGCGGAGCTCAACCCCAACTGGCTTTCCTTACATCCCGTCAGAAAGGACTTGTACCTTAAATTGAACAAGCACATGGACATCAGTGTAATTTTGGACAAGTTGAGCTGCAACCTAAGAGAAGAGGAGAAACGCTAAGTCTAATTGGGTGACTGAAATCAGGGCCTGTCACAGTTAACTTGTTCACCTTTGTTTGAAAACAGTTTAAATGAGTCTTGGTCGACAACACTTCTGAGATGTTAAATAAGTGTTGTTAGGCTTGTGTAAGAGGAAATGTGTTTGGTTCCCCTGAATTTGTAGCATTGCTTTCAAACTTTTTTTTTGGGGGGGGGGGTGCTTGGTATGGATGTTGATTGATTCATTTATAGTTTCATGGGGTCATGTGCAAGAATTAATGAGCAAAATTAAAGAAACAAAAAATAAGTTGTCTCTATTTGCAGCTGTAACATCGTCTGGAAAAATATATTGGTCAGAAAGTTGAATGTTAGCCTCTTTTTAGCTCTGAGCGCATTACATCATCATACAAATTAACCAAGCTTGTGAAGGTGGAGCCTGACTAACACCACTGAATTTCTGCTAATTGATCCTCTCCTAAAAGTGAATAAAAATCTCCTGGATTAATAGTTTGAGCGGTGTATAAAATAAACCATAAACCAGTGGTTGTCAACTGTTGTCACTGTTGTCAATAAAATGATGAAAGTAGGCACAAAAATCGGGTTGTCACACTAGGTGGTATTTCTGTAATCACAAAGAAAGCATAAATAATTTAAATGTAAATATGTTGGGGGTGTTTTCAGAAACTACACACAAATAATTCTTATCTGCTTATCCTCACAAGGGTAGCCTATCCCAGCTGTCTTCGGGCAGTAGGCGGGATACAACATGAGCTGGTTGCCAGCCAATCGCAGCACACGAATTATGTGAAAGTTCAGTCATGTTGAAACAGTAGTTCTTCTCCCGCCAGTGTAAAATTGCTCAGTCAACTTTTTTCAGCAATCTAAATTCTGAAAGCTGCTAAACAAGTAAATAACCACAACCACGCACAAAAAATGTCACTCAGACAAAAAAAAAGTTATTGGTTTCATTGAGTAGCCAAGCAGAAATGACCTCTTTCCTCTCGTATGACACAGCGCAACGATTTCTATTTCTATTTTCGTGTTTTTCTTTGTCTTGTTCCACCCCATTTGATCTTCATTTCCGCTCTCTATTTTTTGTTACGAATTAGTGATCTTTATCATTTTTAAATGATAAATATGCACTTGTAATATTTTTAACAGAAAATGTCAATTGCAGTTGCAAAAGGGCAACGGCAGGCTACTCTGTTCACTACGCATGCGCCATGAATTTCCGCCCGCTTCCGCAAGGTAGCTCTCGATTGGTTGCTGCTTTCCATAGAGAATCGCCCGCGCTGTACTGGGCATGCGTAGGTTTTTTTCTCTGTGCCGTTTTCTCCGCTGCACGCCTCCGCTGCCGCTGATTGGTCGGAGGTTTAAATGGTGAACCGCCCGCCTCTCTTTGAACGCTTTTGCGCCTTCTCGCCGCGGAATTTAAAACGGAAAGCGATGTGAGGACGACTTTTATGAGAGCTGAACGACTTTGTTTTAATCACCCTGAAAATCACAGCCGGTCACTTAGCTGAGCAATAAAGAAGAGGGAAGCTGCTCAAAAACGGAAAGAAACATTCAGGTACGTCACTTTCGTTCTTATGTGCTGCCACAGGGGTGTCAAGTTAATGCAACGAAAATGTAAACCATCAATATGAGTATTTTCCGCTTTGTATGTAACCCCCAATGCGAGGTTGTGGTGATTTTCTTTTCTAATCTAGAATGTAATAAGACGTTAGGGTATTCTTAATCACTTATGTGTGCGGAAAGAATGAGTCAGTTAGTTTGGCGTCGAAATGGCTGGCCCCCGCCAAATCTAGACCGCGTCAAAATGATCTCAATTCGGTCATAACTGGAACGAAACAACGTCTGACCACTTTCAAGGCCGGTTGTGACAATAAAATACTCTCGATGTTCCGTTATTTACCAATAAATTCACGTTTGGGGTAGCTACGTTAGCTTGCATGCAAACTACGCTAGGGGTGAACTTTTGCCTCGGAGGCCTGAATACTGGACAGAAAAATGTGAAGGATTCCTCAACTTTAATTTGCACGCTTAAAAAAGGCACTAGATCAAGCAATGGGATGTTGTTTTCATGAATTGCAGTTGTTGGGACAGTTAACCCTGGCAAATAGTTTAAGATTTTGGGGTGGACTTGGATTCCACATGTCGTCGTCTCCTGCACTGAGCTGCGGGACATTCAGAACCAGAACAAAAAGCAAGCTGTAATAACATGACACGTTTACTTAACTTCTTTCATTAATGTGATACGTTCTCAAAGTGGTTATTGAGCAAAAAGTGCAGCAAACCTTTTTTTGCCTCCCATCTACAGTCAACAGGGAATTATGAAGTGATACTTAGTTCAATGCAAAATCATGAAGTTAAACCCTCTTTCTTGTGTCTGCAGTGTATATGTGTTGGACTGTGAAGAAGCTAAAATGAAGTGCCCACGATACGACATGTTCAAGGCCAAGATGAACGTGGAAAAGGGCTCCCCAGAGAAGCCCTCAGGCCCCCATGGAAAAGATTCACCCATTAAGAACCCCCTCCCCCTCAATCCCATTGCCGAGAAGGTGTCCAAAGTGTTGTTGCCCCATGACGCCTCCCTCGGAGCAGCCCAAGACAAAGAAAACCAGACCGTCAAGATGCACGAAAGTACTTTCGACGAGGGGCTAGAGGACAGCGGTTACTTGTCCTTGTACAGCAGTCATATTGACGAAGGTGAAATCCACATTCAGGGAAAAAACCCAAGAATTCTACCGCCCTTGCCACCTCCCACTGTGACACCAAAACGGTCCCCTCAATGTGAAGATGGCATGGTTTCTGGTTGCCCTATGAGCCTGGGAGCTGCTTCCACACCCATGGACCACTGCAGGCGGCAACCACTCACGTATTCCTTGTCGTCCACCCCCTCTGATGAACACAATGACAACCCCAACCTGCCCATTGTCAAGTTCCAGTTGGCAGTGTGTCAAGAGCTCGCCAAGAGTTACAGCAAGAATAATCGGTAGGGACTGAATTGTTAACAAATGTATTTATGTGACAGGAAAAAAATAGAAAATTTCATACCTCTGTCAAACCACTCAAAGGCTACACATCCAGTACATTGAACCCCTGTTTAACATGGGGGACACACATTCCATGCAAAAAAAGATGTCCATGTTTGCACAGTCTCTTGTCTTGCTCCCTCCTCCGTTCATAACTGCTCACCCCTACCCTTTGCTTGCCCAAGAAGAAGGGGAAGAAAGTTAATTGGAGTCAGTTAACTTAAAAGAGCAGCCAGTCGTATTCTTCTTTGAAGTCCCCTCACTGACAACCAGCATTAGCGGTGATTGAAGCATTTTTTTTTTTTTTTTTAACAACATTAAACCTCTACATTAGCAATCGACCCATGTCAACACAGGAATTTATTTGCCGGGTGATGCTGTGACACATGGCTTTTTATAGGTATTGATGGATTGCATGTGATGAAGCTGATGTTTCTATTATCATCATAACTCGGATTTCCGGGCTTTTTCAGCTTGCCCCGAAACGACCCTTACAGATAAAACTGCCCAGTTTCTTTGAACATTGCTGAAGTTTGCTTCACGGGTTAAAAAAAAAAGTGGTGTGAACTCTGAAATTCCATGTTTGTTTGTTGTTTGTCATCTCAGGTATGACTGGAGCATCATCTCCAAGGTGGCCGAGGATCATCTACTGCACCAGGTGATCGGCGGCAACATGGGCCTCGAGTTTGTGGATGTGTTCTCGTCTCTCCTTTCCAAGAATATGAAAAGCGTTCTCGCCAACATCTTGGCCCTGCTGGGAGACATGGACCTCATCAGGTAGACGCACAAAGTGCATGTTTTTGGGTGGGCGCTAGGTAGCGCATGGTTGTGGCTGTGAGATATCAGCAGTGTGTTTGGCTACCCACAGCTGCAAGAAGGTGAGCAGAACCTGGAGGAAGATCATACGTGAAGATGGCGCTGCTCTGAAAAGGTGCCAGAAAGCTGAGAAGATGCTTCAGGTGAACACACACGCACACACTCATTTCTGGGCAAGTACTGTTAAAAAAAAAAAGACAGGAATTTTTGCTGCTAAAAAACTTCCCTCGTTGGTAATTAAATACACTAAATTCTGTAATTTAAAAAATCTATATGATCAATTTACTAAATTAATTTTCATTTTAGTTGATTCTTTGGTTTTTCGATACATTTCATTTTAGCACAAATGTCCACCAAATATAAATGTTCTGGACAATTTAGTGAAATGATTGGGCCGAAACATTCATAAGTAAAATTTTAAGACTTTCACATTTATTTATATTTTTAGGAATGTTTTTAAAAAGGGGCTAAGCATGTTAGAATTGTTTTATTATTATTAAATGTAATTAATATTTTTATGTATTGTTCCAATTTAAGTTAACAATATAATCATGTTAATTCATTTAATTATAGATTTTTTTCAGACATGCAAAACATAAACACGATAACTTCTGACTTAAAAAATATATATTTACAATAAAATGTATTTTTCATATTTGAATTAATGGACAACGTAATCGATTATTTCCATTTTACCGTTATTGAATTCCACAAAATAGTGATTGTCAACTGTAATGCATGCAAATTAATGGGGGGAAAGTTGCTCTAAAACACATACCTTTTCGTGTGCCAACTTTTTTTTTTTTTTTTTTTAAATGCCCGTTTCCCTCCCTTTTTCCGTTTCAGGAGTCATTAAGCTCTGTGAAGCAAAAGAGTTCCGGTTTTACAAGGGATGGTATCGTGTCCCGGGTGGTTCTGTCCTGCATGCAGAAAGTGGCCTCTCCACATGCTCCATCAGCGGCATCATCGTCATCGTCATCATCCGT